CAGCATTTATTTTATTTTATTTTTTTATTTTTGCAGGGTTTTTTTTGGCCAGGGCCATGTTTGAACCCACCACTTCCAGTATATGGGGCCGGTGCCCTACTCCTTTGAGCCACAGATGTCACCCCAACTCAGCATTTATTAATTAAGATTCATCAAAACACATTGTTCTTTCTGTATCTTCTTCTCTCTCCCGCTAAAGAAGATTTAATTCTAAACACAAGAGGAAAAAAAGGAAAAATGAGAACAGACATAATCCAGTCAAAAAACTTGGATTTATGGAGTCCAACCTTGAAAATATTTTTTTAAAACATCAAGCATATGAATTAAAGCTCCCACCAGGCAGCTATAATTTACACAGCAAGCACTTGGCAGGTAATCCGAGCACACTGTGATACTGGTAGCAAGGGGCTCGTCTTCACAGAAATTCAGACCCTCTTTGTGACAGGCCAGGGGGTGAGAAAGAAGGATGCCAACTTTGCAGCTAGAATAAGGTTTTTCCTATTTAATGGACATTTGGCAATAAAAAAAGAACAATAAAAAATGTAAGAAAAAAAGAAGGTGGCTCCGAGTCATAGTGTAAACATGACCCTATAAAAAGCAAAAGACCATGAGACAAAGAAAATTGGCTCAAAACTGACCTAAGCAGGGCTGTAAAATTTTAGGCAAACCAAGTGAAAGAAAATGAAAACACAATTCAGTGGAAGGCTTTTGACATTTTTTAAACAAATTCTTCCATTTGTTTAGGTATTTTTTCAATCCATTCATTTCATTTTGAGATGTAGAAAAATATATCTTTAAAATAATATTGATTTTTCATCTCTTGCATGATTGTAAGCAATAGGTATTCATACTTCTACTCTTAAGGCTTGTACTGTATTTTACAGCTAGCCTGACTCAAATCACAGTATCCTTTTAAAAAAATCTTTTGTACACCTAGCTTTGGAAAAAAGTACAAAGTTTGTCTACAAAGATATATTTACTTCTAATACAGCATAGATCATAGATCTCTTTCATCTTACTCCCCAAGACAGACACCTCGTATGGGAATAATGAAGAATCCCTAAAACTAAGGGTTGTGATACACTCAAAGGCTACCTGTTGATTTCATGCAGGCAGTAACAATTATAAGAATCCCCTGAGCCTGGAGAGCCCTGTTTTCTGCTTTTATGACTAACTGACCTGAAAATGAATTCTTCTCTGAACGGCATTCACCCTACTAATAAGCATGGTCTCCAGCAGAATGAAATTATCTCTTTTATCCTCTTCTGATCAATTGTTCTCTCACTCATGAGTTCTTCGGAACATAGAATGACATTATGAGTCTGACTTTAGGTTTTGGGCTTTTCTATCTGCTCTGTTTGACGCTTTCCTCGGAAGAAGAGGAAATTGGAAGTTCTAAAGAATCAGGAGGTAAGTAGAACCATGGCCATGAGGAAAGACAGTACGCTAGGAGCCAGAGTCTGGATTCTGGGCTCTGGATTGGCATTGACATGGCTGTATTATATGTAATATACAATTTACATGGGCGGAGGGCTCTTTGCCGTTCACAAACAACAAGGAAAACAGCAAAGTGCTGTCATAAATCAGATGTCTAAACTGGCAGCCCTTGTAGTCTACCTGCTCTGTTGCTCTTGGCCAACAAATATGCTAATTTATTAAACAGCATTTCAAATAAAAATGCACATTTATAGATCTCCTTGAAAACTGATCAAATCTTGTGAAATAGCCTATGTTTATGCTTGTCAAGAATTGCCCCTTGTCCAGAGAGCTCAGGCTCTCCAATTTCTGTATCCTCACCGTTCACAACGATTCCTAGACACTTTTCTCTCAACTCACTGCTCACCTTTAGGTTATCTAAATTAAGACTAGAGGTGGCAAAGGTAGGTTAACAAGTGATTCCAAGGTAACAAAGAGCAGAAAGAAGCCATCGACGCCCATGGAATGTCAAAGGCTGGAACATGCGGGCACATTTACAAACAGATCACAGCCTCCCATTAGTTAGGCAGGCTCCCCCTTCACTGCTGGCTATACAATAGATACATAAATGGCAAGAATACATGCAATATATATTTAGATTGCACATTAGACTTTAAAATCTGTGCCTAACTGAATGCATTAGCCAGTGTTTTCTGTTTATGTCTCCACAATGCCATGGAAACACAGGGCAGCATCCTAATGTGCCTCTCCTGGCAATAAATAAACAAAGTCTTTGTCTATTCATGTTTCAATTTCTCTTTTTTTAATGTAATTTACAATCTCAAAAAAAAAAAAAAAAAAAAACAGATCGGTGGTGTTTGGGGTTGTTTTTTCCTCCCCGCTCCTTCCAGCTTCCTGTCTTACAAAGTCTATCTGCATGAAATGTAAAATGCACCTTCTAGCGGTTACTGAAATCCTAAGCAGCGTTGTCAGCACTCAGAGAACATGATTCTCCCGGCCGCACTCATCTTTCCCCTTTATAAAATGCCATGATAATTAAACTCTGTAATGAGGTTCTTTAAGCATTTCAGTCTAACCCAAAGAGCACTTAATATAGTTGTTTAAGGTTGAAAGCTGATATAAAACAGACATAAAATCTGATGGATTTCGCTCCCCTCCTCAGTCTAAAAAGCACTGCCCAGTCCATTTCTATAGAGATTGCAACAGCAGTCACAGCCCTTCCTTAAATGGCTCCGCAAAGGCAGTGACACGTCCTCGCCTCCCTGGCTCCACGGAGTGTGAGGCAGACACGTCAGTCATGCTGCTGTCGCTCTAATGTGCAAGGGCAAGGTGAAACCCGAAGCTCAAAGTGCGAGGAGCTCAGTGTCTCCCAGGGCAGCTCTCTGCCTGCCGTCTGGCACCTGGCGCCCCTGCCAGTCGGTAATCCAAGACTCTGAAAGGCCCATTAATATTTGCATGAAGAAGTGGGCAGATTTGATTAGGTAGCTCCAATCTGCAAAGGCTCCTGAACCCAAGTGCAGGGACCCCGGTCAAAGAAGGAGGGAGACCCGGGTGCTTCCCTGGCAAAGAAACCATCAGGGTGAGTTCCTGAAGGGACCTTCGCTAACTGGGAGCCTCGCCTCCCCTAGCGTCACAGAGCCTGGCCATCCACACTAGCGGCCTTCACAGCCTTGGGACTCTCGGGCTGTGTACCAACCACAGCCCATGTGCGGTAAACCTCAGGCAAGGAACTCGCGAGCCATGTCTATTTTCATTAGTCATGAAAAGCAGTCTGTGGACCAAATTTCAAAGCATTCACAGAGTAGATCTGTCATAACATCTGCTCAAGGAGAGATGCTTTTCATTTAGACTGTTGGAGGGCTGGACTTGGAGTCAGAAAGTGAAGTGTCCACAAATATGCCTTCCTGGGTAATAATCAAACGTTATGGCCTTTGGTTTTCTAAAGTGGTATATAATAACCTGTCCATCTGAATTATGTTTTCGTATCTTTTGCAAAATAATAACAACAGTATTAGCATAGAACATTATTAGGTACTTACCTTGTGCTTCTGAGACAGTTATTATTAATATTATCCCCTTGTCACAGAGGAAGCAAAGTTTAAAGAGTGAATAACAGGTCCAAGGTCAGAAAGCTAATAAATAATAAAAGTGGGAGGAAAATCAGGTCATTTGACCAAGAAGCCCATTATTTCTTCCTCCTATGCTGTGCCTGCTATGACCCCTGCACAGGGCTGGGCTGTTTGTCCACATAGTATCAGCTTTACAGTTTCTGTGACTTCCATTTCATCCCCAGATGAAACTCTGCTAAAACTGTGGTTGGTTTCTTTTCTTTCTACCTTAGGTGCCAGGCAGAAGAGACAGCCAGCCAGTGCCCAGTTTTCTCAGTACGTCTGTCTTTTGTTGTTTTGCCTTTTTTGTTTGTGAAGTCTCTATCCTCTGCTTTCCTCGGGTGATTTCTCTTTTAAGCTTCATGTTTTTGTCGTCCTTATCTTAGAAGCCACTCCATTTTCTTACAAATAGGCAAGGTTTCAATTCAGGCATTTCTGCTCTGTTGTCATAAATGGGTTCTGGAAAAAGCTGACGTTTGACATAATCATACACTAAAAATAAAAAAAAAAATTAGGAAAATGGAAGCGAAGGAGATGCATTCAGAACAACTACTTTCTCCCAAATAATAAGTGATATTCAAATTCTACCCCAGTTAACTTTTCTCAGATGTGTGCACTTAGAATTTCATTCATTCTTCCTATTCTTATTTTCTGTGTTTCTGTTTCCTTGCGCTGGTCTTGATAATACTGTTCTCTAATAGAGACTAGTTTCACTAAAATCCAAAATAGGGTCTAGGAGCAGTCATCTTCATCAGTTTTTTTTTTTGTTGTTGTTGTTGTTGTTGTTGTTTGTTTGTTTGTTTGTTTTTGAGGGGCTGTGGAGGGTGGTGACTCAAACAAAACAGCTTTCACAGCTGTTTCATCTGCACTAACAGCCTCTCCAGAAAACATCACTTGAGCAAAAAGTAGTGGTTCTGGGTGACACGAAACCAACCACTTTTGCACTAAAGGAAAGGATGTCTATAATTTGAAGTTTTTCTTATATTCATCACACATTCCTAAGAATTTTTCTTTCATTGTGAAAAAGCTTGCTCTTAGCTTCAGAATATTAACACAATAGACAACATCTCAGATGAGCCATCTAGATTTTCAAGTTATTCTGATATCGGGGACAGATCCAGGTTTCGTGAGACATGAAGCTGCTATATCTTCTAAGTCCTTCAAGAAAAGAATGTAAAATTATAAATATCAAATTAAGTTAAAAAGTGGCTATTTTATTTACTTGTTAATTTATATTACATATAGTAACACGTGCAACCTTACCCAGGAAAGCGAGTAACATTCCTATATGGATGAGCACTTTTCTGGTTTTTGTAAATGTATATCACATATGTTTTTATTATTGGAATCATGGACAACATGCTGCCTTTTTCTGTTTCACATTATTTCTTTACATATGTCCATGAATTGACAAAATCCATGGATTTGAATTACTTGCCACATAGCATTTTATATCTGAAACTGTGGTTAGATGCCATGAAGCAGGTGGCAATGTCTTAACTGCATGCCTCTGTCAGACCTGAGGGCCTCTTCCATCCTTGTCAAGGGATTGCTAACCTCCGCTCCTTTCATAGAATATGGAAAGTGACCATTTAGAATTTAGAATAATGGGGAAATAATTCATAATTCACAAATTTCAAAATGCTCATAATTGCTAAAGCCTTCACTAGATCCCGAAAAATTATGTACTGTATTTTCATTGTATAACTGGCCTGGTCCACCTCTATAATTTTTTCTGACGATATTTTTCCTTGTGTCTTCTTTGATTGTCTCTTTATATGATAATAAAAAGATAAAGGTAATGTTCTTATGCAGAAAATGGAGTCTCCTCAAACAAGATCGACCAAAATTTGTTTTTTCCTTATTGACAGTTCGGAAAAGTCTCTTTCAGCTCCACCATTTGTTATTGTTATGTCTTCTACATGCTGGAAATTATTGCCACTTTGGGGAGGATATTTAACCGATTTCTTTCATACATAAGCTTTAAGATTGCAAGATTGTGTGGGCATTTCAAGTTTTCCTGAGTGATGACTGGTCTTAAAATCTACCTGGGACTTTCAACACTAACAAGTTAGTTGATGTCCTTGCCCTAATGGCATATAATCAGTTTTGTTATCTTTGTCAATGACTGTTCTTTCTGTCAAATTAACACAAAATTGTGATGTTTCTCCAATGTGTTCATATGTTTCTCTGCTTTCATTAACTGGATTATCAAGCAACCCAAAATCCTGCTCATTAATTCTGTTAAAAATGTATGTCTTGCTGTCCATGAACTGCAGCTGCTGTAGGCATATTCTGGATGTGAACCACTAGCTCCTAGTCTTCCCAGGGTGCGCAACACAAAGGCACTAACTCTCAAACTCCAGTTATTGCATACTTTGCAAAGAAGTCTGATGGGGGTGGTGGTAAATTTTAGTAAATTTTGCAAAACCACATCGTCGTGTGAACATAATGCTTTATTAGCTTTAGAGTACATCTGCCTCTACTGACATCTTTTCTCTATTTACCAATCACTTTAGAACTGTCTTGCATCAAAGAAACCCAAGGAATAGCAGAACAGAGCATATCAAATAAATGAATTAACAAGAAATTAATAGATACCATATTACCACAGTTGTGCCCTTTGTTAATACTGATGTAGATTCAAAGAACAAACATTAACATAAATTGATACATTGGTTAACTCATGAACAATAAACAATAAATAGCAAATCAGAACTTCAAGTTGATAGGACTAGATTGGTGGTTTTATCATTGGATTAGCCTTTTAACTGAATATCCAAAATTCCAAATTATATTGTCTTAATAATCTAAGCTAAGACAGGAGATTCATTTGACTAAGAGTCAGCCCTGTTGATAATAAAGTCAGATACACTTTGAGAAAGGCGCTTTTGACCCTGCCTTGCCTGACTTTGGTGTTTTATTCATTGGAGGGGATTAATATGTAGAAATTTATTATAATCTTAAAATAATTTAGCCTTTAACAGGCAAGGTTGTTCAAAAAGCTGTACAGAATAAGATTCTATTTTGAGAGCCAGGCCCTGCTATGAGATTAAGAAGCCCAGGATAGCCACATGAATTCAGAAGGAACTTGGTCTCTCTGGACGAGTTGGAAATGTAATCACTTACTCTCCTTGTTAAGAGAATCATTTAAACAGTTGTTCCAGTTTTGTTTACTCAGAAATCTTTTATTATTCCATGTGTGTTTCTCCCTATAATAAAATAAGCACAACAAAAGCAATGAAACATGAAAACTTGCAACCCACGCTTTTTATAGTGTACTAAGAATTTGCTACTTAAAGCATAGAGCAACAGAGGCAGCACCTGGGAGCTGATGGAAAATGCAGAGTCTCGGGCCCCACCTCAGCCCTGCTGAACGGTATGCACATGTGCACAGCTGATTCAGACGCACACTAAAGTTGCAGAAGCACTGGGATTTTTCCCATATTAATATTAAATGTCACTTCCAAGTCAATGAAATGATTTTTTTTTAATTTTTTCCCAGTATTTAATAGACTTTATTAAATAATAGTTTAATTGAAGGTGTTTCATCAGATTCTGAAAATAATCAGCATCAGGCTCATCGCAAAACAACAAAAGCACAGGCACTACAAAAAGTTAGAAAATTATGAAGTGAAAATCACCTAGAAAATCATCACCGAAAATAGACACCGTTAACATTTTGATGCAGATCTTTCCAGCCCCTTTCTATACGTGTTACACATTAAAAATAAAGTAATTCTACATATGCTGCTTTTAACCTGATTTTTATACTTAGCGATACTATGAGGACATCCTTCCATGTTAATAAATGTATTTCTGGCTTATCATTTTCACTTATAGAGAATGAAAATTCTGTGAATTCTGTGACTCTGAGGGATGGTGGAAAATATATTTCCTTTAAGTGGTCTTTGCTTGTAGAACAAAGAACACATGCACGTTATTTCCTTAAAATAAATGTCTGAAAGTTTAATTTCAGGATCAAAGGGTGGGCACATTTATATGTATACACGCTTTGCAAGACAGCCTTCCAGAAAATGTTTAAGTAACATCAATTTTCTAAATCTCTGCCAGTCAGACAGGCACTTGGGTCTTATTGTTGTCAAATACCTTCAACTCATATCCTAAATTTACGTGTGTGTTTTGTGAAGTGGTTATTTTTGGTATCCCCGGTGTTACTAAAAATTGTAATAGTGTTCAATAACTCCTGTCCTTTTGTAGTTTCAAATTAAATACTCCACTCCAGTCAGAAAATTTGTAACCCAGAAGATAAAACCATAAGATGTGATACAGTCTACATTCTCTGCAATGAAAAGTTTCATTATTAAGGCTATGATATTACTCTCGGTTCTCCTGCCTCTCCTCTCTGTACACACCTCTTTAGTGCTCTCAGTGAGCCTCTCTTTGTACACCCACTTCTAATAAGTGATTCTGGCCACAGAGAAATACATTCTGACTCTTACATTCTTATTTACTGCACTCCTGCCCTCAGGTCATCAAACTACCCACGTTTCTCTCTTTAACCCCAGTCTGGCCCAGCCTGCCTTGCCTATGTGTGGCTATTTCCCTTAGCTTTCGATAATCTTCCCTGTCTGAAGGTTACTGTGAAAACTTGCCTGACTTTGTGGCATCACCGAGGCTCTCTCCTCTGAGCCCACTCTGCACTGAGTATGTATTCTGAGTTTTCTTGACCACCAACACCAAAGTCAGTATTCAGCACCATTGTTGACTGAATCCATGCCTGAAACTGCAAACTTTATACTAGTCTCTTTCACCCCAAATTAGGAAAAACTTAGATCTAACAAATTAAAAGCCAATAAACAGAAAGAAGAACAAAAACTCTGGGAGAAAACATTTTAGAGAACTGTATTATTTATTAACTTAATACATCTCCTTAATGAAAGTGTTTAATTTCCACTAAAGAATATAAATGAAGAACATATTTTCAGAGAGAAGAGGAGAAACAAAGTTTTCAGCTTGTAGTACTCTGTGGCGAACGTCAAGGGGAAAAGCATTTTTCTTTTCTTGTTTTTCCCTCATTTCTTAAAAACGCCAACTATTATTTAAAATTCTCTTCCCATCACTCAAAGAAACAGAGACAGTTGTTCATTTGCCGTCAGTGTTTGCTTATCTGACCAGCAGGGTCAGGATAATCAATCACTCAACCCCTGGGAAATAATAAAATGTATAATGGGTTTGGGTAGTTACCAATGAAAAAATATAAAAAGGAAAACTCTCAGGATTCAATTCATTTTCAAATACTGCACAGTACTTAAGAAAAGACAGCCTAAAGATCAGACATACATGAAGCAGATGAAAGGGGAAATATCAGAGAAAAGATATTTCTGTTGGGAAAAAAAAAAAAAGATATTTGCCTCTTTCAAACATCCCACAATAAGAACACTTTCTTTCCTTGTTCCTATTAAAAAGCCTTAAAGTTTCCCAGCCCTCACCGCATGCCCAGAAGTCCCCTGGCAGCATCTTTTCCATTTCTGGTGGTGGTGGCTGTGTTGCCCCTACTGATCTGGCTGAAGGCAGCCAACACTCCTCACTTCCAAGGCCCCTTTGCTGCAGAGGTATTAGATAGGAGCAAGGCCAAATACCCACGGGTCTGCTATTGGGCACACAGCTACGGGGCGGGCAATGATGGATTTTTTTCCTCCAAAGAAATTCCGGAGAAGGGCACCCAAACACACTTCTGACAAGGCCACAGCTCACTATTCTAAACTCAGAAAAGCCAGGAAATGCACTGGGTCTTGATCTGAAGAGTCCCTCTGTATACAGGGAGTGTTCATTTCACATCTGTATTAGGGAACAAAGCCAAAAGGAAAAAGAAAAAGAAACAAAAGAAATGAATTAAGGCGAAGCTATTGAGCAATATCAGTTTCTTATCTGAGGAGAAAGAGCCGCTTTACTGAATATTCATCACACACAACCACTCATATTGTAATATTTCTTAAGTGTCAGAATATAAGTTGTCCGTGGCACTTACAAAGCCAATGAACCATTTCATGAAAGCTTTTGTCCTAAATAAGTATAAAATATTTTTCCTTTCCTTACTCCACATTTGCTCTGTGGTCTTCAGGAAAATCCTCGACCTTTCTGTGTCTACAACTAGGAAATAGTCAGAATGTCGGGTCCCAAATTACTCTAGCTTTTAAAGGCAAGACACAAATTCAAACACATGAAGCTCCTAGAATTGTGCCTGGCACATCATAGCTATTTAACAAGTGTTATTTACATCCCCCTCCACCACAACACAAAATTAATTCTATGTTTTTTGTGTGTGTTCACCAAACTCAAAATAAGTCAGAATAAAATACAGAGATTTTAGTGTTCTCAAAACATGATGTCATTCTCTCCTTCATTTTTGCCTTTTTGTCATCTCTTGTCTAGGGGGGTAGTCCCGTGGGGTACTCAGCCGTATAGAAATCAAGCATTGACACATGAACATCGGTCTGAAGATTAGCATTCGAGTACAGAAGAGGAGATTTGGAAATGACATTAGAAATTCTGTCATCTCTGAGAAAGAACTTCCGACGGAAGTCCCAGAATTACCATACTTGGTAGGGCTTGGGT